ATTTCCGGATATATGTTTATATGACATTCTCTTCTTGTTTTTGTGTGGAACTCACCCCCAAAATATGTACAAGTATTTCTGAATCACCCTGTATAACAGGAACATGTGTGTGTAATTACACCATATAGAAAAATTTTTTATTTTTAATTAAAATACACATTAGAATATTAAAATAGAATTACATACGAATTACATACAAGCGAGTTATCACTGTAATCAAGATTATTTTAAGTATTTTAAAATAACAAAATATTATTATCAAGACTCACTTATAAAAGTACGCAAATTTTTAAAATGTTGTGTATATACTATATATATAAAACAAAACAAAAAAAGAAATTATATTTAAACGATTTTTGTTATTTAAAAATAATGAAGTTTAATTTAAAAGAATTTGAGTGTGCAACAAAAACATCCTCTATGTCTACATTACAAAATAATATCATATATTTATTGTTAGCAGTCGATATGCATGCTCAATGCAATATATTCCCATTATATTACTAACAATGATGTGCACATAATTCAATAATATTATTATGTCCGAGTCAAATGGATGTATAAACAGTTTTTGATAATATTAATAAAAAATGTTATCAAAAAGAAACTTAAGAAAAATAAATTGCATAGAAAATTTGAAAAAAAGATTTACAAATACATATTTTCTCAAAAAGAGTAAAAATCAGAAGACAACGAAAAAAGACGAGAAAAAATAGCCGAACATACATTTGATAGGTGGAGATCAGAACTATCATTCTCAAACAAGACGATCATGCAATAATGTAAAATCATTAATTAAAAAATTATTTTAGCATTGTAGTTTATCACTGGTTAACTGCCGATCTTTAATTTACGATAGAATTCTGTTGTCGCGCATTACTTATAGCACTAAAGGTCGATTGAATCAGACAAATTCCTTGCGCAAGGGTCACTTTTTTTATAAGGATTAATCTCATTCAACAGAGAAATCATCATTGACGTAGTAGTACAAATGTTGGAGGATGCGATAGCGTGTTGAGTTTCGCGATTCTGACAACCGAATCGTTTCAGCAGCTGCTGCATTTTTTTCCTCTTTTATACAAATATGATGAAAATGTAAAAATATTGTATGATATCTAGCGTAAAGAAAATATAAAAAACGAAAAATGAGCGTTTATTATACAACATATATAGATACTATATATGTACGATTTTATGCAAATGATGATAAATAGTACTTTAGTTACTTCCAGGTACAGATTAAACCTGCAAAATAATTGAAAATAATTGAATAATATAATCAAATAAATGAAAAAAAAAATTTTCTTTATATTTTTGATGGTTATGATAATTAATAAGTTTATGATTGAAAACATTCAAAATTCAATATATGTATAATAATGTATATATGTTTAATAAAAATAAATATGATAATAACAACAATAGGCTCAAAGTATTAACAATTCTAAGTGGAACTGGCAATAAAGAGCCAAGGCGGCATTATTAGTGCGCAAAGTTTTTATTGTTAAATTTCAGTGGTACATATGCATTAAAAATGTCAGCCTTGAACGTCAGTTTTGGGCGTCTTTTGGTCTATCTTCAGCATAGTGTATCAAAATTAAATTCGTATTTAGAACTAAACATATGCAATATAGCAACGGAAAATTTAACAAATTTCCGAATGCAGTACCCTGCGGTATTTTGATAAGTATTTACATTATCTTTTGTTCTAAATGTGTTGGGATGTCGCGGCTTCATACGGCACTCATATAACTAAAAATAATAATTTTTGATATATATGTATAACTCGTGCATCGTGGATTTTGGAGATGTACGAAATACACATGTATATCGAAATTTATCGTATACGAGTACCGTGGGCACTTATTTGTATATATTCCACGCGGGTTTTAGTAAGCCTCCTTTCTGATTTCCAGTGTTTAATAATCACAGAAATATCATGGATCACGGAAATAAAGATGTGTTTATTATTCTGCATTATGTTTGTTAGCCTACAACAATTTCACTAAACAGCAATATTTTTTGCAGTAAAAGACGAATCTGCTAATTTGCGAATGCACATCCATAAAATCGAGATAAGATGCTTTAATAAGACAGATCATTAATCGGACAAAGATGTTGATAAGGCGATAGGAAGAAATATTCTTCCTGAGTCTTACATATTTTGGTATCTGAAGAATATATAATTTAGAGAATGCTCGAGATATAACATAAATGTTTGCTTTTTTAAATATAATATTATATAATATTTTAAAAAAGTAGTGTTTTTCTCTTAATATATCTTCTTGACATACACGCGTGTTTCTGATTTGTCTTGTGGTAACCGAATAAATCATTACGCTTGATATTCGAGGAAAATTTATTTTACATTTTATTTTTTAATGTAGTCCAACGATTTTTGAAAATTCCATAGTGATATTAAATAATTCAGTACTTTTAATTGTGTTTAGCGTAATTCTCACCATATCACACGTGTTGGTTCAGAATTTTGTATATATTTGAATATCCTATATTATATTAATTATATTTATATAACTTTTATATTTTGACTTTTATATTTAAATGAAGAAAGTAAATACAGGTACATTAATTGCAAATGAGCGAATGTAATTATTTCTTGTTTTTTTTCTTTCTTTCGGCAAATCATTGAAACTTTTATAAATCAAACATTGCAATCGTTAAAAATTATGTTCGATTTCTAGCTGCCTGACACTGTATTCGATGAAGCAGGCACTGTATCCAGTTTAGTCGTAATGTCTCTTCCCTAAACGTATGAGAGATAAGAGCGCGAGAAACATATACTGGCACGAGCAATGTGGCACTACCATAGGTATGATGAGTCGTCCAACAGTGTTGACAAACTGCAATTTATCTACTATAAAGTCATGTATACATGATGATCTAAAAGTAAAAGTTTGTTGATAAACTTTATTAATTAATCAATTTATTGTATTTTATTTTATATATTGTATTTTATTTATAATAATTTGACTAACGCAGCAACAGAGAAAATTACAATGTGTATATACAACTCGAAAGTGCAAAAATGCTCTATGAAGTTCAGCATAGAAACAATAAACAAGGTAAATGGTAATATCAAATGGCGCATGGGTAATATCAAAGATAATACAATTGATAATACTCAATCTTATGCACATGATGATAAATAGCATTTTAGATATCTTCAGGTGCAGATTAAAGCTGCAAAATAATTGAATAAATAATTGAACAATTTAAAAAAAAAATTTTATATTTTTGTAATTATGAAAATTGCTAAGTTTATAATTGAAAATACTCAAAGTTATCTATACTAATAAAGATAAATATTTTCAAAAAATTATATTATTGTCAATTTCAGATACCTTTTAATAGTAACAATAAATGTTATCAAATTAAATTTTAAAATTAATATAAAACAAATTTTAAACTTTGAAAGAGAGAAAAAAAAGGGAAATGACAATATAGTAGAATTTTATTAAAAAATGTTTATATAAAAAATGTGATTTTTTTTTAAATCAGAGACATTCACATTTTTCTTTATTTTTAATATTAATTTATTATTTTTACGCAAATTTTCTTGAAATGGCGCGATTGAAGCGGCGGCGATATAAGAGCTCACCTAATTATAAATCACCTCATTGGTAAATGGAGGAATAAATTTTTTCGAACTAATTATCATTAATTATGATTAATAATGATGATTATAGGGAGTTGGGAGCGGGGAAAATCGGTTAAAACCAAATAATATAAAACGTAATTTTTCTGACACCTTGTACATTTGATAAAACATATCTTAGCAGATTCATTTATTTATGTGTAATAAATCCAACACGTGGACGGGGCTCCGCTCCTCTCCCTGCACCCTCATCCCGAAAAAATTCTAACCTGACGCAAACCTAATTTTAGTTTTGAAATTAAAATTACCCGGTGCTTTCAGTGTTACAAAATCTATATTTGTAAAACTTCACATGGGTTTACAACTTTCCACGCGAAGTGAGGTCCATACCCATTGCCCGGTGTTTTCGGTGTGACGAGGTCTATATTTGCAAAATTTAAAATGGGTTTGCAAGATTGCAAGAATTTTATTTTTCGGTTTTAACTAATTTCCCCTTCCTCTAAACCCCTGTAATCATCATAATTAATTATAATTAATCATAATTAATGATAATTAGTTCGAGAAAACCCATTTCTTCATTTACCAGTGTAGGTGAACTTTTACCGCGGCGGCAATATACAGGGTGTCCTAGACCACCCGTACACATCTTTTCTTTCAAAAACTAAGCATTTTAGAGAAAAACGTTTTGAACAAAAATTGTATGGTTTTGAGGGGAACATAAGATGCAGGAGATTCTATTTAAGAAATTAAAGATGTCCTTGACTTGACCTTAACGATGCCATCCAAGGTCAAACCAATGACACCATCTTATGTTCCCCTCAAAACCATACAATTTTTGTTCAAAACGTTTTTATTCTCTAAAATGCTTAGTTTTTAAAAGAAAAGGGGTGTACGGATGGTCTAGGACACTCTGTATATGTTTCTTTAAGATTAATTATAAAAACACACTGCCACATAAAGATGTGTGTGTGTGTGTGTGTATGTGTGTGCGTATTTATGTGCATGCATGTACTCGTCTCAAAATGATAATATCTCTCTCTTTTTCTTTATCTTTTGTTAAAAATAAATATAATGCTGTTGATAAATTTTTATTTATTGATATTTTAGCATATACCTTCTGTAAAAAAGGTACCCAGAATTTCTCATTTAAAAGTCCCGCGGTACATGTATTGAAAAAAAAATTTGTTGGTGAAATTAGCACCACTGCACCCAATTGTCATGCTGAGTTTGAGCGCGATCTGTCATCCAGTTTGTTTACAGCAGCTGTTTATGTCAGTCGACCTCAAGTGTGTTCTGCGATTTTTACAATGGAAAAATTGTCGAGCAAAGAATTTGTCTTAAATTTTGTGTTGCCAACGAAATTTCATGTGCCGAAGCGTTGAAAATGTTAGGAAAAGCCTATAGTGAGTCGTGCATTTCGAAAACGCAAGCGTACGATTGGTATAAGGCATTCAAAGAAGGCAGAGAAGTTGTTTATGATTTGCCTCCTTCCGGCCGACCTTCAACGACTTCGACTGATGAAAACATCGAAAAAATCAAGAAAATAGTCATCGAAAATCGTCGCCTGAGTGTTAGAGAGATGGCTCATGAACTGCAAATGTCTCACATATCCGTGCATAACATTTTGACTGAAGTTTTGGGCATGAGATGCGTCGCTGCACGACTTGTTCCGAAAGAGCTGAATTTTTTGCAACAAACCCATCGAAAAATGGTTGCTGAAGAGATGGTTTCGCGAGCTTCTAGTGAATCTACCTTTATAAAACGCATCATAACTGATGATGAGACATGGGTTTATGAGTACGACATGGAAACAAGTCAACAATCATCGGAATGGCGCTTCGAATTGAGTCGATAAAAGCCATAAAAAAGAATTCGCAGAAGGAGCTGAAGGCAATACCTTTTCTTCAGCATTTGAAAAGTGTTTTGAAGATTGGGTTAAGCGTTGGCATATGTGTATTGCCTCGGATGGGGCCTATTTTGAAAGCGACAATATAAATTTTGATGATTAAATAAGTAGATCGTATTTTATTTAAAAATTCCGGATACTTTTTTTACAGAAGGTATATATTCTATTAATAAGATAATGTATCACGCATCGATGCAAAGATATCGCTAATTTATCATCAATGCAAGGATATTACTTACATACCAGTTCTTGTTGTTATTATAACGCCGGTTCTCCGAATCTCTCAGATGATGAGCAATGGCCATTTTGTAGTGCGCACTATTTTGTGCCATACAAATAAATAAGCAAATGCTACTGATAATAAAGATTGTGTTAATCCCATAAAAAAACAATAAATATGCCATTTTGTCTGAAAATATGATAAAAGACATGAATATCTTATTGCTTCTCATATTAAATCGCGTTTTATAAGAGTATGAAAGAGTATGAAACGTATAAAACATATTTTTAATTTCGACAAAAAATGGACTTATAGTTATATTATCTTTAATCTTTAATTTAAGTGTTAGTGAATTATCTGTCAGTGGCATTTATGTACTAGAAAACCAAAACCAATTGTCAACATCCGATCGAGACAGTTTCGGTACGCCCACAAATTCCATGATGTCACAAATGATAGCGAGCATAAAGGGGCATCCCCACGCGTAGACAGAATATATGATTAACTTTTTTCTCTCCTGTTGTTTCATATTTCTTTGTAACGGACGTAATTGTCTGTGAAGCGCAGTTTATACTTCATATATAGCGGATAAAAAGAGAAGAAATCGTAATGCAAGTACATATTAAAATAAATACGCTTTTGATCGAGATTTTTGAAAAAATTCTTCCATATAGAACTATAAAAATTGATTTACTTTATCTAACACAATATGATAAATACTATGTATTTATTATACATATGTTTGCACGTACCAATCATGATAATGGTAATTTTGATTTTAACTTTTATTTAACGAATAAAATTTTAGCAGAGAAATTAAAACTCTAAAAAATTTGACGCATATTTACATTTATTATTAGAGAAGAAATAGGAAAAAATTGATAATAACTTGATTTTAAAATGATATTAACTTTAGGTTCTTGAGACGTTAAAATGAATAAATTTAAGAAAAAATGTATAATGTTATATCGAGATTAAATAATGTAATGTAATTTTATATATAATTCAGAATATTGATTCAACAATATTACTTTGTATTTAAAAAATAAATACAGTTTTACAAAATGGAAAAATTGCTTGAATATTAAAAAGCGCTATGTACATAGCTTATAAAAAGGCAGTGTATCACTTCTATGTGTATGTGAACTAAACATAGTGTCTTGAGCCCAATATTTACACTCTCAGTATGTGACACTCGCAAAAAATGACGTGACACAAGTAAATATTCTGTATTTTACTCAAAACATTGTCGTTTATGTTGCTGCCTTTTCGTATCATTACAAGTACATACATATAATGAGAAGTTTATATAGAGATATATTGATATATACAGGGTGGTCATCGTAACGGGTACCTCGTAGTATAGATATCTGTGAAGTAATTTTCGCACATCTTGTACGATTCGATATTGTTTTTATTGTTATCTTTATTGAAATTTTTAAAGAAATCGTATGACGTAGAACCGTTTTTGCCCTCGGTCCTTTTCAAGTTTTCATGAATTTCCTGTCACAGGAAATGAGACTTCACCGGTATTTGACTATCATTCTCATGATCCTCTGCGGCCTGCATTCGAAGAAATGTAAATAAATCGTCATCCTCGCGGTTGTTGCTCGTCGAATTGATGCGATATGCGTGCTGCATATCACCGTTATCTTTGGTTGAATTTTCGTTCGAATTATACCATATTAAATCTCTCTCATCGTCATAGTTTCTCACGGTGTTTGCGCCATTTTTGTCTTGTAGCAATCAGATTAATTATAACTTGATATTTGAAAAAAAATTATTTTATATTATATGTTTTAAAGTAATCACACACACAATGTAATAAAAGCAATAATTTCTAAAAATTTAATAATAATATTAAATAATTTGATACTTTTAATTGTGTTTAGCGTTAATTTTCACTATATCACGCATATTAGTTTCAAATTTTGAATGAATATTTAAAAATTCTATATTATATTATTTATATCTAATTTTATATTATTTGAATAAAGAATGTAAATATAGGTACATAAATTGCAAATATAATTATTGCTTGGTTTTTTTTCGGTGAATTATTGAAATACTTGGATCAAACGTTGTTATCGCTAACAATTATGTTTGATTTTTAGCTATCTCACATTGAATTCGCGAAACTAACACTGTATCCGGTTTAATCGCTGCGTTTCTTTCCAAGACGTGTAAGAGATAGGAGCGCTAGACTCATAAACTCACGCGAGGAATGAGGCAACACTACCAGTGACGTTAGTCGTCCGAAAGCATTAAAGCTGCAGTTTTTTTACTACAAAGTTATAATGTTTAGATATTAAATATTTTAATTAAAAGATGTCATATCTTTGATAGAAATTATCAAGAGACACGATCTTGTGCTAAGTCACGCACTGTTAATACAAGTCACGCGTAGCAATAGCAAAGCATCCCGTATTAATGCAATTTGACTAACGCAGCGACAACGTATAAGTTACGAAATATTTAATACTATAATTGAGAGCTGTTACATTTTTGATAGAATTATCAAGAGATACGATAGTATCTCATCGCTCCAAGTCACGCGTCAATTTCATTATCATATTGTTCAGTTTAGCAGCGCCAAGTTATTTTAATGAAAATTTTTTATTTTATCTTTTTATTTTGTATTAATCATTAATTTTTAATATTTAAATAAGATTTTTAATTTTTCATATTTTTATTTTTGTAGGAAAATATACAAAATTTTTATGCAACAATTTTTGCGCAGTTAAAATGTTTCTTTTTACAAAAATAAAAAAGAATGAGTTAGTATAAGTTTTTATTCTTTATACAGATTATAAAATAATACTATTTTGTAAAATAGTTTTTTACGGCGTACTTTTTACCTTTTTTTTAGAAAGATAAGTTTTTAGGGATGCAAAATACGAATATATTGAGAATGAAGTCAACGAGCGTGAAAAAAATGTTATATATATACAAGATATTCTCGTGTTAAATGGGCACACTTGAAATATGAATGTAGGACCTCAAAACAAAAAAAAAATTCCTCTGGAAGTGTGCTTGCAAACGCTTCGTTCAAGAGATATTAATTTCTTAAGTAATAACTATAGTAATGAATAATGTCGAAATAATCTAAATTTATTCTCTTTATTGCTTTACAATAATCATAATTTAATTAGTAAATATTTTGTTTAAAATGATGGTTTCCAGCCTGGAAACAAGCATTGTATCTATCGATGAAAGAACGAGTGGCTGACTGATATTATGCGTCTATATTTTCTTTGCACGTTTGCACTATCCTTCGTTTTAATGATTGAAGGTCATTAACAGGCATTTTATACACTTTTTGCTTGAGAGTACCCCTTATAAAAAATCTAATGGTGTTAAATCCGGTGAATTATTCATTTCTATAGTTCTGTAACTTAAGAAGCGAATATCTCTTGAAAGAAGCGTTTGCGAGCATACTTCCGAGGAAAATGATTCGTGTTTTGAGGTCCTAAATTCATATTTCAAGTTTGACTATTTAACCCAGAAGCTCCCTGTACATATATATTAACGTCGCGACGCTATCGCGTCGCTTGATATATATTCAGGGTGTTCCGCAACGTGATGTCCACACTGAAACTGTGTATTCTTTGTGTCATTCTAAGTCAAAAAGTCTTAATACACATATACCCTAAAGTCGCTTGTTTCGAAGTCAACATTACATAAATTTACATAACAATATAATAAATACAAGTTTGAATATATAAAATAAAATGTAACACGCATGTCTATTATACATTTTATTTTGTACATAATAAATATATATGTAATCTTTGATTTATTAAAAAAGGTACAGCATGTCATTTTTGAAATTGTTTAAAATTAATAATTTTTATTTCTCTACAATTTTTTTATAATTAATTTTTACTCTTTTTAGTTTTCTTAAAAATAAATTTTATCTTATTATCTATAAATAATAATTTAAATTTAATTTTTAGAATTTGTCTAAAAATAAATTTAAATTTTATTCTTAGTTTATCTCCCTAATATTTTAATAGTCTTACTACTTTTTTAACTCCTAGTAAGCATTTAATTCCTTAAGAATCTTAAGAAATTAAATGATTATCTTTATCTTAAATTAAGATAATCCTATAATAGCCCTAACAACCTTACTTTTGCTGGCTAAGCCAGCGGGAATTCGGAATCGAAATTTTGGGGAGTGTGTCCTAATCGCGCGTCCTACTCGCGTGTCCTACTCGCGTGCTCTAATCATGTATCCTATTCGCGTGCCCTAATCGTGTATCCTATTCGCGTGCCCTACTCGCGTACTCTATTCGCGTGCCCTACTCGCATGTCCTAGCTGCGTGTCCTAATAGAATGCACCGTATGTTGCTTCCGTTGGGCCAGTTGGACCTACCTTTTGTTGATCCTGGCCATATTCATTCTGGCTACATCTAGCCAGAGATGTAGCTTCGATTTTTATCGGAGGTTAATGAAGGATTTTTGAAAATTCCATAGTGATATTAAATAATTCAGTACTTTTAATTGTGTTTAGCGTAATTCTCACCATATCACACGTGTTGGTTCAGAATTTTGTATATATTTGAATATCCTATATTATATTAATTATATTTATATAACTTTT